CCCTGTATGGTTATTTCCCTACACTAAAAACTTGCTACGACGGCCAGTTAACCCGCGCCCCGCTGGGCCATTCAGCCATACGCGCCCTGCTGGGGGGGGGGGGGGCAGATTCTGCCCCCTGTCTAACTTCCGAACCGATGGTCGTAGAAAGACGGGGAAAACGGCAATCGAGAGCTCTTAACAAGGCGTATCTTAACCCTCGCCGGACCTATTGGTTTTCTACATACGCGCCGGCCGAGGGGGGGGGGGGGCGGGTACGACCCCCCCTAGCCGTTTCGCCCCTGGTGGAGCTAGCGCGTCGCGAAAAAAAACGAGCGTGTGTGCCGTTACGAGACGCAGAGATTGGTACCCGATTTTAAGGTCCTAGGTCAACCGGTGACCTCTGAGGTCAGGTCAAGTGCCCCAGGGTACGGTTCAGTTTTTGGTGAATAACTTCGCAAAAAACGGCCGCAGAGCCGCGATTTTGGCAGCATCGTATTTGCCTCGCTCAGGCGCGTCGAATGACATACTTTTTGTTCGGGTCAGGTCAACTTAGGGTGTTGACCTCAGGTCAAGGTCAGGTCAGCACCCCCAGGTCACGAAGTTGGTCGAAAGAGGTCATGTCGCATATTATTCGATTCGGCAGGTCTTCCTGAGTCCATTGGTGGCTTTCTCGAATCGCTAGCTCAATTTGATCGGAAGTTATTGACGAAAAACTAATATGACCTTGATGACGTCATAAATGACGTCACAAAAGGTCAACATTGCAAAAGTGACGCATCTAACCTTGCAAGGAGTGCATCAAATCACGATTCTGTGTGCTTGAGATAGTTGGAGATCGTTCCCGGCGCCAGAATAGCAGTTTTCATTTTTCCCCATTGACTTATAATGGTGAGGTCACGAAAATGATCTGACCTCATATGACCTTTAGGAAAAATCCGAGATATACAAGTTGTGAGACTTATAATGGATACTAGATCCTGCAAGTTTCATTGCCCTGTGACATCTCCTCTGGCAGTGAGGGCGTTGCGAAGTTGCGACATCTGAAGACCGTGCAGAGGTTCACTTATGACGTCATAGGTCAGTGACCTGACCTGACCTAAAAATGCGGTTGGTGTCAAAAGATGCGGCTTGGATCAAAGGTCAGGTATGCCAAGTTTCAGCTCTCTATCGCCAGCGTGTTCGGAGCTATCGCGAAAAAAACCCTATGGGGGGGCGGCACCCACACCCCCTCGGCCGGCGAGGGTTAACCCTCGCCCGCACATGCCATTTTCCCATCCTAGAACGCACATAAGGGGGGGGGGGGTTGCCACCCCCGCGCCATTTCGTTCCTGTTGGAGATAGAGCTTAGCGGTAGAGACCAAAAAGATTCTTTGGGAAGAGACAAATCCAATGATACCCAGTTTTACCTTCTCAGGTCATTCATTGACCTTCCAGGTCAGGTCAAACTAAAAAATGTTGCTGTTTTCGGTCACCGTTGGATATCAAGTGCGCTGCTTATCATATAGCGATGACGATGCCGTTTTCTGGTTCCAAGCCAGCTAGAACCTCTTTGTCACACTACCCGACCAGGTTTTTGCTGCTGAGGTCATTTCAGGTCAAGTTAGGTCAAGGTCAATTATATGTGTTTGTATGTCTGTGTGTGTCTGTGTGTATACTGATGTGTGCACCGATTGTTTATGTGTCCATATTACATGAAATCATGATCTGAGAAGCTTTTATCAAAAATGCAGTCCAAAAACTTCACAAAAAGTAAATTCCGCTTGCCCAAAACGCAATTATCTTAGGTGACCTAGGTTGACCTTGACCTTGACCTTGACATCTGTACATCGTCGAACAACATGTTCCATGATAGGTGGGAGGTAAGACTGGCAAAAAAGGCCGAAATCAAGGTGTCAAAAGCTCACAAGGCCCATAGCCAACGCAAGATGTTGAGAATTGGCCATTTGAGTCATGACATGACCTGAAAAACAAGGTCATATCTCCGAAACCAAAAACCACAGAAACTTGAAATTTTCAGTGGACATCAAGACAGGATAGGGGAGCAGCTATACGAAAAATCAGCCTCCTAGCTTTAAAAATGTTGAGTGCAGAGCAGAAAGACTACCTGGGGGGGGGTGGCATTCCCCCCATGTGCGGGCGAGGGTTAAGAGCCCAAATTTTTCGCTTAAGTAGGTCAGAGGTCAGGTCAAGGTCAGGTCAAGGGTACAAAATGCAAGTTTCTACAGTATCGGCCTTGCACCGTAGTTGCCGAAGAATGGACTGAGACTGATTGCCCAAAACGTGTTCTTAGGCTACCAAGGCAATATTCGTTACATACAATATCATGCAAAGGTTAAGGTCAAGGTCAGGTCAGGTCACCAAAAACGAAATATAGAAAAGGGCATGTGCGACACATGTTTTATGGGTCATTTTATTCATAGAAATCAATAGGAACACTCAATAAGTGATATGGACCACATCTGGATGAATTTCAGGTCGAGGTTAGGCCAAGGTCAGGTCAAGTGAGGTCAAATTTCGAAGTTGGTTGTTAAGGCCTAAAAATGTGTCTGTCTGATGCAGTTTATCACGGCGAATCGAATGGTGCTATTGTTGTTTCCGTGCGAGGTCTAGAACTTCCAAAACATTCTTTTTTCGAGCATTTTGTGTGTCGTTATGTCATAAAACTTTGAATAACTCCCACATTTTTGAACCGATTCTTCTAAAAATTGGTATGTAGGTGCATATAGACCAGTGCTCTGAAAAATATTCCGTTTTTCTATACACTCAAAGTTTTGGATTTTATAACTATTTTCCCAAAAGTCAGTTAAAAAAAGGGCCAAAATCCAAACTTTTCAAAAAACCGAGATAACCAATTGATAGACAAAGTAGAATCACGTATAACCTTTTTTGTTACGTCTTGATTCTTTTAAAAACTAGTAAAACGCCTTTTGGGCGAAAAACGAGCGAGCGAGATAGTGAGCCCTGCACGTGCGCAAGAGCGAGAGGGTACTTCCAACGGGCTTGTGCAAAGCACCCTTCTAACCGGTCGCTAGCGGTGTGCCAAATTTGAACGCAATCGGCCCAGCCGTTCCTGAGATCTGGAAGCGGCATTCTGCACGTGCGCACGTGCAAGCGGGGTCCAAACTGACTTTTGCACGGCACCCTACTAACTGGTCCCCAACCGTGTACCAAATTTGAGCGCAATCGGCCCTGCTGTTCTCGAGATCTGGGAGCGCCCCTGCACGTGCGCACGTGCTGTAGCACCCCAACCTTAACCCGCGCCCCGTAGGGGGTGGAAACGGGCCCCCTTGTCCTTTTCTGTCGATATCTCCTAAACGGCTGGAGATATCGCCACCAAAGTTTCAGGATCTCTCCGGGCATTAATTTTACACATTGGGCCCAAACATTGTTTCCAGAGGCTATGATAGGTTGGCCACAAATGACGTCAGAATGACGTCATGTTCTGCCATTTTCGACCGAAAAAAGACCTTCGCGAGAAGAGCTGTCATGCCGACAGCTTTGAAGATACAGAAAAATGATCAGACATAAAAGGTGTAGAATTCACAGGCCTACAAAACTGCTATCTCGGATTTTCGATATGTTTGAGTTTAAACCCCCAAAAATAAAAAATGCGATTTTTTGGATATATTAGCAAAAAAAAAAAAACAAAGTTTTTGAGTTTCGAAACAACCGGAATATATGTGATAGTACCTACCGTCTTCTATCTACATACCAAATTTCAGATCGATATCTCGTTTTTTTGGCCAAGTTATAGCGAAAAAAACTGTTAAAAAATGATGACGTCAAATTCTCAAACTAAATTTTTGGCAATTCTAGACCACGTAGGGCAAAACAAAGACCACCATCGGACTCCCCGTGACAAGCTGCATCGAATAGATACCCATTTTATGCAAAAATATCAACTTTGAATTTTCACCTAGCATGACCTGACCTTGACCAAAACGTGACCTAAGCTGGCCTTAAAGGCTGCCTGACCCAAATAATCGCATTTGTCATGTAAAATGGACCATAAAACATTATCACACGACATTTTCATATTGTGACCCCCCAGGTGACCCCTAGTGACCTGGCCTCTGTGACCTGACCTGGTATCATTGACCTCAGATAGCGAAGTATGTGTTTGACGAACAATGTACCCTCGATGGTTTTCAATAACTTACTAATTTACTCGATTTCACAACACATTTCTTGAAATGCCTGTGAACGGTGAAAATCCGACCTTTGACCTGACCTGTGACGTCATCGGTTTGACCTAGGTCGATGAAATTTTGGTCACAAGGTAGTTCCCGGGTGGGGCTATCGAACGTCGTTTGAATTTTGAAAATCGGCCGGTAAATTTCCGAGATCTTAGGGGGGCCGAAACGCCCCCCCCCCCTACGGGTGGTAGGGTCCGCCGGTAGCCCTACGGGACGCGGGTCAACACATGCAGATGAATTATCTGATAGAGACTTAACTCTGTTCCGAGTTTGAATTCAATCGGCCCAGCCGTTGTGCCGTTATTGAGGTTGCAATTTTTGGGGTTCTTAAATAAAGTTCAACTTTACCACGCGCCACGTGCGGTGGTTGGCAAGAACGCATGGTGACCATCACACCACAGAACTTTTACGTCCAAGTGACATTCAGTAAAGAAGACCGCTTGTCAATCGGATGTCCCGTTCCTAAGATCTAGCTTTTGAAGAGCGTCTCATACTCAGGATTTTCCCGAGGGAGTTCAGTATGAACTCCCTCGGTCGCTGCGCTCGCTCGCTCGTAATGAGGATTTTGGCGGCGTTTGAAATTTTTGCCGTTTTTGAGGCGAAAATTGCGAACATGACGTCACTAAAACGTCATTTTCTTTTAAAAAATCAAAGGATTTCGCTTAAATTATCAGGAAACCTGTGAAATTGATGAATGATAAGGTACGGAAAGTTTGACGTCGCCGCGTAACGCGTTTAGACGATGCAAGTTACTTCTTAGTTACTTAGGAAGATGCAAGTTACTTCCACAGAGAATCATGATCGCGGAGGTACACGACTAACCGTCTTCTCCCGGTCAAGAGCGCTCTGAATGTAGACATTTTGCTTGGTGATGTTGCCGTCGAAGCTGAACCGGATTTCATCAGTTTTGTCCTGCTGCGTCACCACCACCGGGTCACCTGCAATGAACATCGATCGAACACCTGTAATAGAGTCTGCTCTCTGGGCTGCGCTGTGCTACCACCAATGTTCTTATGGATTAAGTTGAGACATACCTACATCAAGTGCATCTTTGCCCTACCCTGCTGATGGGGATCTGGCAGGCTTGAATTAGTGATGTCAAATACGAAAAATTTGGAAACCGATACCAAACCAAATGCCAACCAAAACAATAGGAAAATACCGAAAATCAAACCAAATGGTAAAACTGATTGCAATACTAACTTTTTACCGTATGCCGAGATATCCCTTTACAATATGCGCGAGCGTGTGGTAAAAATTTCAGGCTCAATGTTATTTGATCTGGTAAAACATTTTTGCCCGTGGGCAAAAACTTTTACCAAAACACGTGCAAATAGTTTTGCATCTTCAAAAGTGACTTAAATTTGTGCAACACACAACTGTAAAATATTACGAATATAGCTGTATTTCATCCAGAGCCCTACAAATCCCATTCGCCTTTCGGAACATTCATTCAATTAGAGATCCATTCGTTCTGTTTTCTATAAAAAACGTTCTTTTAACCCGCGACCGCCTGGGGGTCGGATCCGACCCCCCTCCGTTTTCCTTGAATAACTCATGAACCACTTTCGCTATCTACTTGACACTTGGCATACCTTCTCCCCTATCAATTTGACGTCTCCTGTGAACTTTTTAAGAAAAAACTTTCAAAAATGTTTGAGATATATCGATTTTAGTGATGTAACTACATGGCATTTTTAGTCAAAAAGTGGTAAACGTTTTAAAAATCACCAAAAATCAGGGTTCGAAGCAAATTGCAAATGAAGGACATGAAAAGACGCAGCTTAACGAGTTCTTTAACATGGCTATCACGGATTTTCCATAAAATGCGTTTTTTACCCCTAAAAATTCAAAAAAAAAACTAAAAAAATTTGGAAAACAGCTAATAAAATCCAAAATTTTAGAATTTCCAGAAAACCGGAATATATGTTGTAGAGCTCTATTATAACATTAGATGCTCTAAATTTCAACTTTCTATCTTCATTTTTGCCCCCAAATTGTAAAAATAGCTCCAACATGCATGGGGCATGGTGACGTTATAAGCATTTTCGTGAAATAGAGGCACTTCTGAACATCGCATGTAAAAACAAATGGCACCACTAGATTCCTGAGACAAAGCTCGTCTAGAAAAGTGCATTTTTATGTCAAAAATTAAAGTTGAAAAATTGACTTTTTCTTAGCCCTCGTTTAGTTATGTATGGTAGAAACGATTTTTTATGCTTTCAACGCACACTTATCACCAGCAAAGTGACTTGGGGTCACATATAACCATTACCATCGGATTCGGCGTGAAAAATAAGCCATAAAACATGTGTCACACGCCCATGTAGCATAAAGTGAAAACGTGACCTTTCGTGACCTGACCTGACTTTGACCCGTACTTAGTATGACCCCTATACGCACATGGCACCTTCACTAGGCCTTAGAGGTATTTTTGGTGAGTTTCGAGCAGCAGCTATCGATTCCGCTGTCCATAAGCCTAATCATGCAAAACCCCTGACATTGACCTTTGACCTGACCTTGACCCGAAAGTTGACCTCAATCTTAAAATCTTAAGAGTGCTTTGGGGAGGTCTCGTAGAGACCTTTCGAACGCCGGCTCGCGGGGCTCGATACGACCATTGGTTCTCGAGATAACAGGGGGGTCGGATCCGACCCCCCCCCCCCCCCAGGCTGTCGTGGGTACGGAAATAGCCCAGGCGGTGCCGGGTTAACCCTCGCCGGCACAGGCCATTTTGCGTCCTTCGACGGCACAAGGGGGGTTGGTACGACCCCCCCTCGCGTTTGGCCCCTGATCGAGCTAGAGCTTCGCGGAAAAAGCAAGCGTGTTGCCCGTCACGAGAGGAAGCCGATGACACCCAACTTTAAGGTCCTAGGCCATCGGGTGACCTTCCAGGTCAGGTCCCCCGAAAATCGGGAAAATCGGGACCTGTTAGAAAGTCGTAAAGTGTGGCTGCTATGTGGTTTTCCGGGGTGCTGATCACGAATATCGTGTTAGTTTTGATCAGAGATGATGTCTTTAAGCATTTAGACCAGGTCGGGTCAGGTCAGGTCAGGTCAGGTCAGATCAGGTCAACCGGTAGAGGTTGTGACGGGTATTCGTAATACGTGTCAACCGCCTCTGACAGCTTCGTAACATGCTGCGAAGGCACCAAAACTCTTTCGCAAATGTTCAAATGGTTGCTAAATTCGAACTTAGCTCCAAAAACTAGCCTAGAAACATGTAAAACTCAAAAAAGTGAACCGAGGTCACCGGAGGTCACTTAAGGTCAATGACCTGACCTAGACTTCAGGTGACTTTGACACCCACCCTAATGTATGGGAGCAACATCAAATCACATGTCTGAACGTTTGAAACCACGAAAAGCTTGCAAACACGCGGCTAATGCGAGCCGACATACGCCGAATCGCGATTCCGGCCAAAGATGGTCTCGAAAAAGAGGTCACAGGTCAAAGGTCATTTGGGCCAGAGTCATGAATTTTTCAGGGTAGGTGTAAAATTGATCAATGCGAGGGTAATTAAAGTTTCGTCGCGATCTGCCGCTTTTTACGCGAGTTATTTATGAAAAACTTTACGGGGGTTGCATCAACCCCCCCCCCCTCCCCCTGTGCCGGCGAGGGTTAAAGGAATCAAGACGTAACAAAAAAGGTCATACGTGATGCTACTTTGTCTATCAAATGGCTCTCTCGTTTTTTGTGATTTTTTTTGATATTGGCCCATTTTTTCTTTTAAAAAAAAACTGAGTTTATTACGGAGCGAGCGAAGCGAGCGGAGTCTTTCCATAGATTACCCGAAATTTCTGAGTATGAGCGGCCGGCCGGCCGGCCGGCCGGCCGTGCGGACGCTTTTGCGAGGCTTATATCTCAGCAACCACTTGACCGATTTACATGCGGTAATTTTTGTAGGGTAGCTTCATTCCTTCTACCAAGTATTGGACTATTCCTGATGCATGTGGGTGACCTCTTATGCACGTGCCACGTGCAAAACGAAGAGGTGTCAGTTTTGTTATTGTTGCAATATCTCGGTAACTACTGGGCCGATTGCGCTGCCGGCATGTATGTAGGTAGGCACCCACTAGGCACTGCATATCCATGTGCCAGAGTTGGGGTGCTGCTGCACGTGCGCACGTGCAGGGGTCGTTTCCAGATCTCGAGAACGGCTCGCCCGATTGCGTTCAAATTTGGTACACAGTTAGGAACCGGTTAGTAGGGTGCCGTGCACATTCGAAAAATAAAGTTGACATGCCTATAGCCCAAAGCATTTGCAATCGAGTCTGCTGGTTTCGAAAATCGCAATTAAAAAATTATGAGCCATTGTCTTCAACAAGCGCAGTCGCGATTTCCAAAAGCTTGCACCTACTTTTCGGGCGTTGCAGTCTCCATTGGTTTTGCTTGGTGTTAGTGGCAGTAATAGTACGGTGGTTTTCACGAAAGTCTCAGGCAGAGTTCGTGGGTGAAGAGTTTAAGCGTAGTTTCAGGTCAGTAGTTAATTGACTTTATTTAGTGTAGACGTTGTCGATACACTTTTTAAAGTCACGCCTGTAATGCGACCTTCGCTTCAGCGCAGCTAAACTCTGGGCAAACCACGTCCGGCACCAGCCCATAATCTCAGTCGGAACTCGGACCAGACACGCTAGCGCCACAGACGCCTAGTCGACACTCGAGCCCCTCGAGCCCGACCGCGGCAGCAGCACACTGATAACTTTCGTCTGCTCTAACCATAATCATAGTACCCAAGCCACAATTGTGAGCCGTCTCGTGTCCAGAGCCTACTTGCCACTCGGCGAGGACGAGAACGACGCCCGCAGCCGCCTGGAGGCTTGGTGAGTTTCACCTCGAGGGGCTGCGGCCGCGCCAGTGTTGATTGAACTCTCGTGATGGTGTCGACTGTCGATGTATGCATTGGTGGTGAAGTTACTCATTCATTCTCAGGCCATGGCAAAGCCCGGTCCAAGTACCCGTAACCAGACCGTGGTCCCGGTCCTGAATGTCCACCCAGCAGAGCTTCCTCCATCTCCAATGGTCTCTTACACTGGCGGATCTGCAGGGAGGGGGCATTTAGGGCTATGCCCCCTCAAAGGCCTAAAGTGGCCTGTTTGACCCCCCCCCCCCCCCCAACGATAATGAAACATAGTTCAATCAGTGCGTGGCCCAGGAGCCGAGTTAAACAGGGGGTGTTTTACCACCTCCCGGCCCGCAAAGGTTGCGCCAAGCATCGACCCGGAGCGGGTTAACTGGTCGACAAAAGCAATGTGAAGTGTTTATACAAAGTGATATAAAGGCATGGGTCGGGTGGGTTACCATGTCTATATTTTTTCTTTCTAATTAAAAAAAATGTTCATCGTGTCAGGGCTGTGACGAAAAATAACTGGCCTAAATCCGATGAGAAAATAGGATTTGGGGTTACGCTAGGTTTGGCTCCTAGGTACATGAGTTGCCCCCCCCCCCAAAAAAAAATGCAAATCTGGATCCGCCCGTCTTCCTCGCACGCAGCTTCCGTGGAGAAGCGATGTTTTCCGATGATTCCTGAAGCAGAGGAATGCTGCTAGCGCAGAAGAGTGTCGCAGAAGCGTGTCGGCCATGACGGCCGATATCATTGTCAGCCGTGCGAAGTCAAGGCTCGACCTCCCACTTATCCGGACAAAAAATTGGAATGGAGTGCGCTCAAGAGCAAGACAGAAACGTAGAAAACGCCGTAGGTATACCATGTGTGTTGGCATTCTTACTGCATTTTACCTCGTCAGCGACATGGATATTAGCTTTTAGCACAACCTACTGTCAGCAGGATGATTATCAACTCAGGTAGCAATTTTTGGATATGTTGCGCTAGGAAAGTGTTTTAGTAAATGTTTATGCAACAGATGTATTGATTCGTTGAAAGATCGCAAGCTGAAGCGAGAACGCATTTACACGGTTTACGTGAGAATAACACCGAAGAA